TTCCCTGAGCATTATGCTAACAGAGCATTAGTAGGAGTCTGACCTGTCAGCTCCCCCCCCCCCCCCCCGCCCGCCCTTACGTTTCCTGCCTCACATGGCTTGGCTTAGCCATGTCTCACTTTTACTGTTTGTCTTGTCTCTTTGCCCTTTCAGGGGGGATAATACAGAGGCGCAAGTTCCTATCAGCACTCAGCACATCAGATCTATCCCTCTGTAACCCTGACGGAAAAGAGACACGGTAATGGTTTGGAACAGAGTAGGAAAGCATGATAATTAGTTCAAAATGTCAAGCCGGGTAACCTGACACTCTACAAGATGGTCCTGGCTACTAGGAACTGTCTCCAACGCTAAAAAATCAGTTTAAATTAACAGGTTGGTCTTATTCATAAACAATTACTGCCGACATCAGCAGGCATTCTGGAAGTAAAAGGATGCAAAGTAACGTTGCCTTCACTCGATATTTGTACTCCACACGCACACATGCGAATAAAATTCTATTTAACAACTTCCTCTGAAAAACTAACAATATGCCCTTTGTTATAACTCAGTTCAGGCCATTGGAAATGGAATTGATAGTTTTGCCCTTATTCTCATTTCCTGGTTCTCAGACTACACTGTGAAAATCAAACAAATGCAAGAATGTAAACCATTACTCCTGACTTGAATTAAAAATGAAATACAAAACAGAGTGACAACACTGGGCAGAATAACCATTTTAATTAAGGAAAATAACACATTTCTGAATAAAAATATTCCCATAAAAAGTGAACAATTGTGAAAGGCTATTTTTCCCAGCCCATGTACTTCTTAATTCAGGTCTACTGAACTGTTAAATAATCTTCCAAACTTACATTTTAGGAAGTTCCATCTGATCATGATTTCAAGAAAGTCCCATGTGTTTCTCCATCTAACACAACCTGTGGGCTACAGCCCACTACTCCATCTAACACAACCTGTGGACTGCAACTGGGCCATGTGAGTGACCAGCTGGTGCATATGCACACACAACCCCCCTTTCACAAGCATTGCGGAGGCTTGAGGGCACACTTGCACAAGCGTTGCAAGACTCCTCAGTACCATTTTCAGCTACTGTTTGAAAAATAATTCTATTTGATTACAAAAACACCTGTAGATATTATTCGATACACTTTTTTTAAAAAAAATTCACTAACCCATTTACATTACCTACTTATTTATTTCATTCACATTTGTCCTAATTGTATTTTTAAATCCTTCATATAAATTGCCTTCGTATAAGCAATAAACAGCTAAACATCAACTGATTTTGTACAACAAGGAGAAAGAATTTGGGGGGGGGGCAGGGGGGCGGGAATGTTGTATAAATGTTGTATTGAAACTGATAGAAGCTTTTGGAGAGGGGCATTTGAGTTTTTACTGTTTTTAAATCACATCACATTCAACCACAGTAGCAAAATGTGCATAGCATGCATGCTTCCACATTTTAATACCAGTCCTTATAACAGACAAACAAATATTCCAGGTGAGGGAATCTCTATCTGGCAATCAAATCGACCCACTATCTGATCATTTATATGACAAAACACACAGTCAATCGGTTAACTCAAACATTACACTAATCTTCAAATCCCTCTGTTAACCATCTGTTATTGTATTTAATACATAGAAAGTCCACAAACGGCTTCCAGTCTCTTATAAAGCTGTCTAGTCCACTGTCTCTAATCAAAGCAGTAAAAGTATTTTGGTTTCATCTTGGTGGGAGAGCTTAGAACTATTTATAGAGTTGGTATGTAAAGAGGAGAATTTATCAGTTTTTCATTTTTTTTCTCAGTAAACAGCCCAGATGGATTCTATATTGTTTAATGTTAAATTTATCTGATATTTGGATCCTTTTCTTTACCCTTTTTGTATACAATTTTGGTGTTGGATATTTGTTTTTCAGTTTTTCTCTTTTGCATTTTATTCTTATTGATAAAACAACATAAAAAAATCCTTAATTAGACTTCCCAAATTTTGGAACTTTATAAGCGCTTAACATTTTTCTGCAGGTTTTATTCTGCTTTGAAAAAGGGTAGTTTTAGTTCTCTTTTGCAGTTTGAGGATGGAATGGACAACACTGCTTCCGGGCATTTTGTTTTTCTCACCCAGTCAGACCTGCATTTTCTGGGAAACAGCACTGCTTTTTTTCATATAAAGGTGATGACAATGAAGAAGGACTGCAATAATCATTATGAAGAGTTGTTAGGAAAATATGTGTTTTGCCCAGAAAGACAGGAATTAATGAGGAAGAAACTCTAGATTGCTATGCCTTGACTTTCTTTGGTATAAGATAGAGAGAATCTCTGTCAGACCTTCAAAATTCTGTTTGTATGTCATACAACATTAAAGCATGGTTCCAGTAATTCTTACAGTGTCTATTTTCTGACCTGGCCTGTTTCAAGTGGATGACACTCCAATATAGAAGGCCAAAGTGATTAAGTACAATGGCTCCCTGTGAAAGAAAAAAACAAGGCAACAGAGTGGGCAGAAATTGGACATATTTGCAAAAGTTTTTCAAATTGTCTTTGACCCTACCTAAAGGCTTCCTAAAAGTGTCAGGAGTCAATCAGTTCATGAAATGTTTATAGTGATGTGGGCATGTACGGCTTCTAGGAAGGATGTTACAAAATACCTGACGCCATGACTGTAGGTATTCCATTTCTCTTTCCAACCATCATATTTGTGTTGAGGTTGGGCAAAAAGCAAGTTTACAGACACTTACTGGAATGCATCACTGAAAATATATGAAAGAAAGCAATCTTTAATGATCACGATTCCAATGTATTAATTATAATACTTATTATCTGCTTATGCCAGTTAATCTATGTCTGTGATATCAAATTAGAGAATTAGAATTAGCTCACGGCACATGTTCCAGCAGACAGAAGTTCCCTGAAGATGGGCTCCAGCACAAAAGGTTGGAAGACTAAATCCCTGGTCTCGATGATCGACCCAGATTTGATCTTGCAGAATTACAATTATCAAGCAACTCCAAACCCAACTGAGCTTTAAAAGTAAGAAGCATTTTGAACTCAACCTCAAAATGAACATAACCATATTGGAATGAAATAGTCTACTTGTGGAGCCCTAGATAATAACTATTCTTCAGCAAGGACTCAAAAATAACCTCTCAAGTCACCCAGTTCTGTGCTACCATTTGTATGATACTCCATATTTAGGACTGGAAATTCTTATAGTGGGTTTTATTTTAATAACTATATTTCTAATTATTTTTAGGTCCCATTATACATGCTCTCTCTCTCTCTCTCTCTCCACACGTAAAACTTCATATTATATACATACATACATACATACATACATTTCATTTTAAAACTTCTTTTATTCAATATCTTATTTGTTATCTGGCCTCAGGGCTGTAATAAACAAATCTGAATTTAATTTAAGCCTTAGTTAACAATACTGTGGCATCACTTTGAAGCAGCTTAAGCTTCCAGTACCTTTTTAAGGACAGCCCCATGTTAAGCATGTTACATCAGTCTCCTCTGAGTTAATACAGCAGGCCAAAAAAAAAAAAAAAAAGCTTTTGCTTGGTTTCTTCTCTCTACAGCCTAAGGACTCTTCCAGCCTACACCATTATCCTGGGTAGTTCTAATGAACAGCTTATGAAATTCAAGTTTATGCCTTGAAGTCCAATGCAGGGTGATTTCGTTTTCTCTTGCAGTGGGGATCCTTGGACTCACTAGAGATTAAAATAAATTCTGCCAGACAGCTTTTTTTTTGGAAGAGAGCCTGGCTTAAAAGATAGAAACCAGAGCTGTGTTTCAGCAGAACTACACAAGCTATTGGCCCACTGCCTTTGCCTCGCCTCACCTCCACATTCTTTTGTTTTCCTGACGAGATTGGCACCTTCCCTGATCTTGGGAACCTAACTTAGACAGGTCCTCTTGTGTACATAATCCTTGGCCTGATCCCAAGTTGTGACTCTTGGACAACCCCCTGGAACAAATGCTTGCCTTGGTTTCACCTAGGACTTTGCAATATATGTAAGCATGAAAATTTACGATGTCTCTGCCAGCTGTTGACAAGAACACAAGTTATAGCCTCCTCCTCCTCTCTTGTTCTCTTAATTTTCTTCCTTTTGGAATTGTTTGATATTAAAGCACTAATCGGAGCTGCATCTGCTTCTTGCATGACAGTCTAATGGGTCTTGGTGTGGGGTGACTGAAACTGAATTCCTTATGCAATGTCTGTCTCTCAGGTAGGTTACTATTCTGCCTGCATTTCACCTGGATGTGAAAAGAAGGATGGTTTGAGGCTGCCACTAACTATAAATTGTCCCTCCAACTTTCTTGAAAGTATTTAAGCAGGACAGAAAAACAAAAGGCGGAGGCTATGAAATACAGTTTCTTAAAGCATCTCAAGGTCTACTGCAACTTTTAAAGAAGCTTCTTTTCGGGGGGATGGGGGTGAGGGGAATGAGAACCGTATTTGGCCTTCACACAACATTGTACGGGCTTATTTCCAAAAAGGGGCAAGACTACGTAAGAGATACAGACCTACACAAGCAAAGACTAAATCCAATTCCATTTCATTTACATCTATACACAGTCACAATGTTGTTATAATTCACTTAGGATTATATGGGCAGTGCTATCATCCAACAACACAATCAGGAGGCACCTCCATCAGCACCGTGAAACAATTCTGCAGCATAGAGAAACCAGTGAGAGCTGCATCGAAGAGTGGAAAACAACAATACAAGCATATTGTGCAGAAAACCTAACAGTTCAGAAAGTTTTAAAACATGCAAAAGTTTGCACATATTTAAAAACCAATTTTAAAAAATTGAAAACCAAGGCTAAAACTGTGGATACTCCAAAATCTTGAACGCATACCAAGGCCTGAACTCATCAATCACAAATATGTGGGACGACAGATAATGAGTTAACGGTGGTAACAAATTTGCTGCCTATAGTATTTTGACAGCTCTGTTTTAAAGCTATAGGGGGGAATTGTCTTACCTGAAATACTTTCAGTTGTTGATTAATAATCTCTGTTTCCATTCCAACAGGGCCCTGGGACTCTTCGTGTTCTTCAGCTTCCTCAAGCAGTTTGGCAAATCCCTTTAGTTTGCTGTAAAATTCTTCCACACGATTAATAGTCCCTTCGATCTGCTCTTCTCTGGTTTTTGCTCTGTCCAGTAATTTGTTGCACTGCTTATTCAGAGCCTCTAAATCCCTTTTTATACCTGCGAGATCAGGAGACGCCTCTGCTTCACTTGCTAACATCACTTTACATGACTTGTTTGCATTTTCGTTGTTGCTTATCAGTTCCTGTAATTTTTCAAGGAAAACTTTTATAGCCTTTTGTTGGGACTTCAGAGTGACAAGGTCCCTGGCCACAGGAGCCATGCTATCCAACTCGTCATCACACTCTGCAAATTGAGAAAACAGCTCTCGAATGGTATTTTGGAAATGGCCAATTCCTTGGAGCTTAGTCTCCAGGAAGGAACATTCATCCTCAACTTGCTGGCTGACCGTGTTGAATTCTTCCTCTAACGATTCTGCTTGCAACAAGATGTCAGAGATGTTTGCTGAATCAGAAGCATCCACTACCAGGTCTTGGGCAAGTTTTTTTGTCACATCCACTTGTGACTTCAATGTCTGAAGGGCTTTCTGCTGAGTCTGCATAATAGTTAAGTGTTTAATACTGTAAGTCTGAGGTTTAAGAGCGTTGTGTATTTCTAAGTGTTCCCTAGTGTTCTTCAACTGCTCCTTAATGTCCTGGGATGATTCCTGAAACTCTTTTAATCTCTGAGACATCTTTTCCAGAGTATCTGTTTTAATATGTAACTGTTCTGTGACCATATCCATCTTCTGTATCAATAGTTTCTTTTCCTCTTCAATAATATCCTTATCAGTTTGACAGGCGCTAAGAAAACTCTCTGCTGCATTACTTAACAGCTCAACAATTCCTTGGTGTTTGTCCAAATCCTTCTGCCAAATCTTCACCTGAGCAATGGAATTCTCTATCTCAACAGGATCGATACCTATTTTAATTTCTGCTAAGTTACTTTGGCACTTGGTTATCCAGGGTTGCAGGACCTCCACGTGTTCTTTGTATCGGAGAGCCTTTTCCAAACAGTCATTCAACTTATCTTGCCTTTCATTCACTTGTTTATGCAGCTCATCCCAATTCGCTTTGAGCCTGTTGAGCTGGGACTGCAATTCTGTTTTTTCTGCCCCTTGAGTCTTTTGAAGCAGATTTTCACCTTCTGAAATTATTTTTTCATATGAACCAATCTGGTCAGACAATGCTGCCTTAAATTCTTTCTGATCCTCAATTAATGACCGCAGGCTTTCTAGCTTAGTGGAAATGGGAGGAGACTGATTTTGTGTTTGTTTCTTTATGTCCAGCCATGCTTGAAAGTCTTTAGACATTTGTTGGAATTGATGAGAACTTGCATAGGTTAACTGAAGCTGTTCAATGAGACTGCCTGAAAAAGATTTAAAAAAAAAATACTGTTTGAAAATACTGTAAGCCAAGTCAAAGTTAGAATAGGATGGGTTTTATTTCAGACAAAGATAATTGTTATTTCTAAGAAATGTATGCCATTATTATATAACAATTTGGATTTAGCTAGTCAAAATGGATAGTATTTGAATAATGTAAGAATCTTTTAAGGGGTAAAATAAAGTCAGAAGTAGCAAAACAATCTTAAATTGACTATGGAGATTCTCAGTCATTTCGGGTCATGGTTGTCTCAAAGGTGCTTTTTCAAGAATCAAGTTTCTGGTTTTACTTTTTCATCCAACAAGCTTCTTCAGAGAAAAACCAGAAACTCCAGTTGACTCTTGAAAAAGCACCTTTGAGAGAATCTTAAATTGAGATATTCCTATGAATCTGAGGGGGGAAAAAATCATGTCCAGGATTATCATCAGTTTCAGAGGTACTTCCAAGTACTGTGTAATAGAAACAACATGTATTACTAATGCAATTAACAGGGAATAAGGAGTGTGGTAGTTCATTGTGCTGAAATAATCTGTTCATGTGTATAAATCTTCTATCAATTGTGTCTCGTTCAGTATCAAATAGAGAAATCCAACATGCCAGTCAAATCTAGAAAAACAGACCTATCACTACGCATCCACACAATTCAGGGCCCCAAGGGATCTCTCTTTTCTTTCAAACATCTCCTAACTATCTGGGGGATAACTGCAACCCTGATTTTAGTGTAAGGCTAATTTTCATTCCAAGAAACGATGCATTTTCCCACTATTTAGGATTTTATTTTTTCAACTGCTTTGCCACTTACCTGCTTTTTGTTCCATCTCCTTGAAAGGCTTTAAGACAGCTTCTAATTGCCTGACGAGTTCAGTTCTCAAGTAATCTTCTGCCACCAACGCAGACAATTCCTCGCACACAACCTGAGCCACATTTATGTGTAACATTTCTTGGTCTATTTCGCCTTTTATTTCCTGAGCCGTTTCCAGTTGCTGCTTGACAGAGTCAGGGTCTGCACTTATAGCCAGGTTCTGGCGGACTTTATTCTCCAGCATGCTAAGTTTCTCGGAGAGGTTTTTCAGACAGTTCTGGTACTCTGTGCTTTTGACAATGACCTGTTCAATTCGACCACAGCGGCCACTCAGCTGTCCTGTTAAAGCATCCCATTTCTGGGCCACTGCTGTCAGCTGCTGCTTCACTCTTTCATGAGTAGGTGGGTGTTCTCCTGGCCTCTGCAGGATTCCCTGACCTACTTCAGATAGCTGTTCATACTGGGGTTTCCGGGTATCAAACTCTTTGAGCAGAATCTGAAGAGGCAGAATATGTTAGAAGTTAATTCTGGACAAGTACAAGGAAGAACCATCTTCACTCTAGTTTGTTACTTGAGTTTGACCAAGTAACCATCTCTCATATAAATGGAAGTTGTTCTGCCAAAGCCATATTTGTACATGCAAATATGGCTATTCCTGTTTAACAGCTTATCTCCTCTCTACATAAAACAGCAAAAATCCAACTGGCCGCATATGGTCTTTTTATCTGTCAGTAAATAGGCTTAATGATAATAAATACTGCCTTCAGTTCTAGTATAGTTACCTGTGATTAAGTCACAATCAACACCATCTAACAGGACAACTATCTCTAACTTTGATTCCATACTCTTAAGGTAAGTGCTTTAGTCTATCTTGGCCAATGCCATTATATATAATTTAAAGTTTGTGTGTGCGGGGATATATAGACAGAGAGATATTAATTTCAGTAGACCATTGGAAATAGATGGAAAATACTTAATACTTCCAATAGAATATATATAACTCAGGGTTGAACTGTGGAGTCCTTGATGCAGGGTCTCTGAGCTTAGTTGCTTGCTTGCAGACATTTCATTACTCAACTAGGTAACATTATCAGTGCTAGTGAATGTGGGGTTTGCTTCAAGTTTATATACCATAGCTTGCCTTGCAGGATTGGGAAGGTAGTGGCTTTCCTCTTGGCAGTTCCTTGATTACAGTATTGTTTTCTGTATGATTATCTGGCATTAATGACTGTTTTATTGACTGAAGATTTTTTGTTTCTTTTTCTTTTTTTATTATAACAATATATCTATATTTTATCACATACTTTGAATGATATGTAGATGTAGTTATTTTTCTGTGTTTACTGATGCCTGATTTGTCTGAATGCCAAGCTTCCAGAAATTTCCTAGCTTTTTTTGGATTTAGCTTGATCTAGGATTCTCACAGTTATGTCAACTGAAACTATGGTTGGGTTTGTCCATGTGTAGTAAGATCAAGGAATTTTCATAATGACTTCTGACCACCACTAGTTGGTATTTATGGATGCACTCTGCTAGTCTTCTGCCTATATAGTGGCTATTACACTCCTAATACAATATGTTGCAGATTACTCTAAGCTCAGAGACCACCACTAGGCCTCCTCAGTGAATACAACCTCTGAAAGACACTTAATTTTTTTTTTAGCAGAGCAAACTTATTGTTAGTTTTTTATATTCATTAGGAAATATGTAGCTTGCAGGGGAGAAAAGTATACTACACAAGAGTTATAGATAAATCTATCAGAAAATTTACTTTGGTTATATTTTGAACAGAAAAAAACCACAAGCTCCATTACAAAAACAGAGTAAAATGTTTACCTGGACTTGCTGCTTCTGTGTGTTTAGCATATTTGGATCAATTGATAGTGGTCCAAGCACACTGATCATTAATTCTTTTTCAACCAGCCACTGGCTTAACTGAGCCTCAGTTGCCTGAAACTGGGTCAGGTAATTTGACGATTCCTCCATTTTTTTCTGTCTATCAGCTGCTACCTGGCTGAGTTGACTCCATTTGGAATCTATGACAAAATAAACAATGAATTTTAAAATTGCATCTTAGAAAATGCTTTTCTTCACTAATGGAGACTGGCAGCAAACACTTTGAAGCTGGTAATAATATAACTGGCAAAAAACCGTACCGGAAGAGAAAAGGTATATTTTGGGAGATGGTAAATGGATGGTTACAAGCTGTCTGTAATATGTTAGGTCATCCAAACTGGTCCAGTATTTTTCAGAAATTTACTCTTAACTACCCAGCAGGTTATTCATAAAGTGCCTAGAGTAATGTCAGTTTCTTCAGACCATCACACTTCAAGTCTAAGACTGTTTTATCGAAAATCTCAAGAGTGGAAGCACATGGACTTCATCGAATTCTGCCTATTTATTTTCAGTTTGATGGACTAAGATACCAACAAATCACCCATGAGATCACCATTCTCAGGACTCATAGCAGAGACTGCAATGCAGAACCTGGAGATTATAACATTCCCACACATACAAGCAAAAGTATGGATGTGGTATGTAGATGATATGAAAAAGTGACCACTAGAGAAGACACCTCAAACAACATTTCAAAGGAATGAAATTCAGAGAAAGAAATAAACAACACACTGCCCTTCCTGGATAATATTAAATATTAAATTAAATAAATAAAATAAATAAATATCCTCAACTACTCCATTAATCAAGAGCTTTACTAGTGGAGTAGCAAGCCACCCACAAGAGAAGCTGTATAAAAATATTAATCAGATGACTACAAACATCTGATTAGCAACAACCTAGAACATCAGAAAACAAAAACAGACCAGCTATACAAGATATCCCCAAAAATGGATATCCATGCAAGTTTATCAAAAAGGGGCTGACCACACAACCCACTATATCACAAGCAATACAAGCTAAGAAAAGGAGAACACTGTCATACATTAAAAAAATTCTCAAAAACAACCACAGACTTATGGCATCACCATAGCACACAGCCAATTAAAATCCTCCAAAATATCTCAAGTAAAACAAATGATTCAATAGGACATGTTTCAGAAAGACCAGTTGCCTCTTGGAAAAAAAGCACCTTTGGGACACTCAATAGGACAAGAAGAAAAAAAACAGGAGTCATCTACATGATTCAGTGTAAGAACTGTAGCAGCACTGTCTACGACAAACAGGCAGAAGACTAGCAGAACACATCCATGAAGACACAACTAGCAGCCAGAAGACACAATGAAACCTCCTTAATTTCACAGCACATGGATCAACTTAACCAAAGTGTCAAGTAGGAAACTATGAGCATCCTAAAGGTATAGGTAAAGGTTTTCCCCTGCCCAGCTGTATCTGACTCTAAGGGGAGGTGCTTATCTTTGTTTCTTAGCTGAGGAAGCCAGCGTTGTCGGAAGACTCTTTCCATGATTATTTGGCTAGCATAATTATACAGCAAGATGCATGGCACACACTGCTACCTTCCCACCAAAGTGTTTCCTATTTATCTACTTGAATTTGCACGCTTTCGAACTGCTAGGTGGGCAGGAGTGGGCAAGTAATGCGAGTTCACCCCATTATGCAGTGCTCGAGTCTCAAACCTGGACTTTCAGCTTTCCAGTTGACAAGCTCAGCATCTTTAACTGCTGAGCCATCGTGCCCTCCTTGTGAATATCCTAGACCAAACCAATCCAAAAATGCCAGGGAATTCCTCAGCCACTTCAGTCATCAACAGGCACACAGTTGTTTATACAGCATTCCAAAGAGACAATAAAAAAAGTAAAAAAGGAAACAAAAAACCCAATATAGCTCCTAATCAGCAATCAACACCAAGATAAGCAGGGATTAATACCAAACGAACAGTCAAGTAGGAAACAATACTCTAATCAAGGAACTACCACCTCAGACTATTATGTAATAAAGAACAGCCTAATCAAGGAGCTACCAAGGAGAGAACAACACTTCCACCAACCCTAACAGGGCAAGCTACTGTATATAAACAGAGAGCAAACTCCACCCTTTTCTAGCACTGAAAATGTGACATAGACTGGTAATAAAATGTCTGGAAGCAAAAAACAAAGCTCAGAGAGCAACAACCATTGCACAATTCAATCCTGAGCTACAAATATTCTCCACTATTATAACAAATAACAAGTTGTTTTATCGCTTATCAGTATACTGACTTTTCACCAAACAGAAGCTAAAATAAACCATGGTATAACCAGTACAGGTAGTCTTCGATTTACAACTGTTCTCTTAATGAGCGTTCAAAGTTATAATGTCACTGAAAAAAGTAGCTTATGTCCATTTTTCACACTTACGACATTGCGGCATGCCCATGGTCATGTAATTTACTTTCAGACGCTTGATAACTGACTCACATTTATGACGATTGCAATGTGCCGGGGTCACACGATCCCCTTTTGCAACCTTCTGACAAGCAAAGTCAATGGGAAGCCAGATTCACTTTACAACTTAACCACTGCAGTGATTTGCTTAACAAATGTAGCAAGGAAATTCATAAAATGGGGCAAAACTCGCTTAACAAATTTTTCACTTAGCAACATAAATTTTGGGCTTCTTTGTGGTCGTAAGTTGAGGACTGCCTGTATCCGTAACCATGTTCCTCCTTTTGTTGGAAAAGGATTGGGACTTGTGTTGTGATGCTTAAGCATCACTCTGATATGTCTTGAGGACACAACTGAGTTTTGCCTGAAATCTGAGTGAGTCAAGGATACTTTAATACTTTACGCAGAAGAAGAGGGAGCTAATTCTCCAGTGAATTAGCTCTCCATGTCTGTCATGATGCAGCTTTTCTGCTTTTAGTATTAACAACAAGTATTTTTAGAAAATAGGGCATAACATATATGTAATTGTATATGTAATCTCTGTCTATTTATATACTGCTGCAAAGTAATTGTTCTTTGAGGCTGATCTGCTTATTTGCCTATGCCCTTTCCTTAATTTCTTTCACAATTTTTTATATTATTGTTACATATTTATAGCTTCCTGTCCTGCAGGTTTGTATGGCAATGCTCAGCACAATCAGTGATGTACAAGTTAAAAAGCATTTTTTTGAAGTTCAACAATTTCAGGAGAGGTGGGAATGGGAGAATTGTTATGCATAACTTTTTTGTCCAAACATGGTCAGATTCTTAATATCTGGCAAAAATGTCTAAGAGGGATGTTTTAGAAAAATAGCCAAATGACACAAAACATGGAAAATGTATTACAGAATAAAAAACAGCATGAAGAAACATAAAAAGGCTGTTTTCCATACTAACTCTACTGTGCCAATGCCTTAGTCTTAATTAAACTGAAATAGCAGAAGAATGGGGATAGCTGATTAACCTTCTAATATTTTAATCTTGAATAAGCTGCCGAGATTACACTAAAAATGCATTGAACTAGTTTATTCTGAAGTGTTATAGAAAACTTCAACCTTCACAAGAGTAATAGTGTAACACATACAGCTGTATAAATGACAGTGTAGTACTAGAAATAGTAATATACAAGCACATAATGACTGCTGAATTTAAATATATTAGCATATTAACTTTCAAATCTATCCACTGCCTACAGGAAGCAAAAAGTTAATACCTATTTTCTCTAGCATTTGTTTCCATTTTGGCACCTCAGAAGAATCAGGGTTTTTTTCCAGCAACTCTGTGACTCTGTCCTTCAGCTCTTGCACTTTACTCTCATTCTGCTTCAATTCTGTTTCAAACAGCTACAACAAAATGAACAAAAACACAAGTAAGTGTGTAATGCTTAAAAGTATATTAAAAAATCAAGATTTTGGCTTCAATGGTGACTGGGTGATCTCTTTATCTGTTTACACAAATTTAATAGTATAATTCAGGCTATTAAAAGTATAATTCTAATTGTACTACAGATATAATTTACTTATTGTTAAATATTTTTGGGGATTTATAAGACTGCTTAATCACTAAGCAGTAACTCCACTATTTAGCAGATGTCCACAACGGGTCTGTGCAAAAATGTATAGTACAATGGTCTTCTATATTATTAAGCTGATCTTTCCATTAATCTCAAAAAATCACTTTATACATTAATTATTCTCCATAGATAAGTTTTGAAGATGGAAGTTACCTTATGCTGATCAACCTTTTCTTTAACTGTTTCGCTGTCAAGAACAGTTGTTTCCCATTTGGCTGCAACTGTGTCCATTTTCTGTAACCATTCCATCATTGAACTTGTTTCTTCTTGAATGTTTTGCATATTTAAAAGCATCGATTCCAATTCTGATCTCTTGTCCTTCAGTGTTGCTCCCAAGTCATCATAACTCTGATTCACAGTTGACATGCTATTTTGAATCGTGGTCAGTTCTGTGAGAAAGGTTCCCACATGTATTTATCTTAAAAACTAAATTACATAAATTACATACATCTGAAGACACAAGTACAATAAAAAGTTTAAATTCCTATTTACACACATTTTTGCTTGTTCTGCTGATAATTAAGTATGGATAAATTAATAAATATTGAAAGAAAAATATTTAAGAAAGAACTATTTTCCAAGCTGCAAACTGTTACTTGTATGAAGTCAAAATTGTGTCGGTATCTTGTTTTAGGATTGTCAATTTCATGACAAACAAAAGTATTTATACTTTTATAGCAACCTAGAACTAAGGAGAAATTTCCAGACCATTAGAACTATTAATCAGTGGAACAACTTGCCTCCAGAAGTGTGAGTGCTCCAACATTGAACATTTTTAAGAAGAAGACGCTGGATAACCATTTGTCTGAAATGGTACAGGGTTTCCTGCCTAAGCAGGGGGTTGGACTTGAAGACCTCCAAGGTTCCTTCCAACTCCTGTTATTCTATTCTATTCTATTCTATTCTATTCTATTCTATTCTATTCTA